ACACAGACACACTGAGAGACACTGAGAGACACAGAAACACTGAGAGACACAGAAATACTGAGAGACACAGAAACACTGAGAGACACTGAGAGACACAGAAATACTGAGAGACACTGAGAGACACTGAGAGACACTGAGAGACACTGAGAGACACTGAGAGACAGAGATACTGAGAAACACTGAGAGACATTGAGAGACACTGACTGAATACACAGGTGACGGAAGGATGAGTAGACACAGGTGAAACTAATCAGGGCGGTGCAGATAATCCAAACTGACAGGAAGTGAAATACTACAAAATAAATTAGGAAAAAGCTCAACTAAAACCATTACAGTGAGTAGGTAAACTTGATTTATAACAAGAGTTACAAGCTTATGTACAGTGCAAACATTAAACGTTAAAACAGGAAATAAAATGAAAATAACAAAAAAGTTCACAGAATTTCAAGATAAAGGAAACAGGTGAGTTTTAAGCAGCGTCTTAAAGCTACTGACTGACTCTGGGGACCATCAGAAGGTCTCGGCCAGTAGACCTCAGAGACCAAGTTCAGAGGACACAAGAATTCAGAAATATATGGTGGAACCAGCCCGGGTAGAGCTTTATAGGTGATATTAAAATAAGTTCTCTGTTCAGTGTGTTCCCACTGTAGACTGCTGTGATGTGTGACCTACTACTGGACCCGCTGACACTTGTGGACCTTCTCAACTCCAAAGACGTTGGAGCACATTTCAATTTATGCTAATATGTGATATCTACACAGTTGATTTCTTCAATTAAAATGTTCTCATGAGTTTTATTGTTGGAATACTTTCTGTTGTTCTTCTGTTTCTTTGAGGCTTTCCGCTCTGAGCTTGAATGCCGAATTGAATGCTGGGATATCTGTGCTGGCAGGTTGATAGAAGTACTGATGCATCCTTGGTAAAGTGGGTGTGTCAGGAACATCGCTATGAAATTCAAACTTGTGTATTGGGACAGTACTTTGGCAACAACTGATGATGTTCTACAAGGACACAGATTGAGAAAGTAAAAAATTACTCTCTTGGTTTTCTGAAACATTAACTTTTACGATAAGAGACCAACTGGACTCTGTGGTCCCCCATCGGTCTGTGGAGCTCTGAACCTCCAGTTGGGCTTTATGGTCGTCTCCATGTTGGTGTTCAGCAGCCAGCGGAGGTCACGTACAGCAAATTGAGCTGCTCTCATTGGCTGCTCTTGGTTTGGAAACAATGGCGGCTCTCCTGGTCACACAGGATCTGGTAAAACCTGGATGAAGAAAACAAACTGAACCAATAAGGATGTTTTCTGTTCTGTTAGTGCTTTTATGACGTTCTCTTTCCTAAAAACTGTTTCTGTTATTTTGAAACATGAACAAAGAAAATTACATTGTTTGTCTTTGCTGTTAATCAATTGATCAAATATCAAACACACACTCACACACACACACACACACAGTCATTTAACCCAGCGCGACCTCTCTGCTGCTCTGCTGGTTCCCAACACACAACCTGTCAAACTGTCACTATGTGTGTGTGTGTGTGTGCGTGTGTGTGCAGTACAGTTTATTAGTTTCTGAGCTCAGCAGACCGATCACAGTGTGTGTGTGTGTGTGTGAGAGTGTGAGAGAGTTTCTTTGTATCAAAGCTGTAAAGTCACAAAAATATCCAATCAGAGATCAGAAGTTAAACTGAAGCCCCGCCCCCAGCCTGTCAGTCAGCTGATTTGATTGACAGGTCAACTTGTTGTTTTCTGGTGCTTGTTTACATCTGTGATGTTTGTGAATAAAACATTCTCAGCTCTGAGCATACGGTAGTAGAGGTTGTAGAGGTCAGTGAGGAGGCTGTAGAGGTCAGTGAGGAGGTTGTAGAGGTCAGTGAGGAGGTTGTAGAGGTCA